GAGCATGCTGTCAGCACGTGTGTTCAGCCCTCAGCTTTCCTGAAAAAAATTAATGGCACAGAGCAGTTTGTTGTATGACTCTGCCAGATAATTGATTTCTGTAATGGTACCCTGTGTCAGTTATTAACTACTACAGTAGAAAACGTGATGAAGGGGGAAGAATTACAATGTAATGCAGCTTTGTCAACCATCTGATTTTAATATTTTCAGCAGCTAGTCTGAAATAAATGCATCTGGATTGAGAGACAAAGAATCATTTACGTGTTCACTAAGCAACAGCTTGACACTTTCTCTGATGAATGTGGTTTAAAACATCTGTTTTTACAGAATAGATGTTAATTTCTCAATTAATTGTAAAGTTCAAATGACAAAATTTTCCTTTTAGGAGAAAATGCTTTCTAACATACCATTACAATGAATCACTTCCATCTGTCTATTTGCGTTGCATTTTCAACCATAACTAAAATTGATGTAAAGTTTAGGCGTCCTGCTAAAAGTAAAATGATAACCAGAATCATGGCATCGAAGATACAAGAGCTGTATTAAAAGGGAAACATTTTGTAATATGTTGACATTCTAATGAAAACTTAAAATCTCTGCTGACTCACAGAACATCCAGCAATATCAGTCATAAAGCAAGAATAGAATTTACATCTGAGTGGTTTAAGTGGCCCAAAATTTTCTATCTTAATCAAAAGGTCGTGAAAAATGTATGACTTCCAAAAATATGCAATTGAAATGGGTACTGAATGATTTTTAACAAAAATATAACAGATTACAATTCAACTGATTACCCAAACTATATAATATTTTGCTATTTTGTAGAAATAAATCATAGAATCATAGAATGGGCAGGGACACCTTTCACTAGACACTAGTTGCTCAAAGCCCCATCCAACCTGGCCTTCAACACTCCAAGGGATGGGGCATAGACAACTTCCCTGGGCAACCTGTTCCCGTGCTTCACCACCCTCATAGTGAACAATTTCTTCCTTATATCTAATCTAGATCTACCCTCTTTCTGTTCAAAGCCATTACCCATTGTCCTATCACTACACGCCCTTGTAAAAAGTCCCCGTCCAGCTTTCTTGTAGGCCCCCTTCAGGTACTGGAAGGCTGCCACAAGGTCTCCCCAAAGCCTTCTCTTCTCCAGGCTGAACAACCCCAACTCTCTCTGCCTGTCTTCACAGAAGAGGTGCTCCACAGCCCTCTGATCATCTTTGTGGCCCTCCTCTGGACCTGCTCCAACTGGTCCATGTCCTTCTTATGTTGGGGACTCCAGAGCTGAACTCAGTACTCCAGGTGGGGTCTCATGAGAGCGGAGTAGAGGGGGAAAGTCACCTCCCTTGACCTGCTGGTCACACTTCTTTTGATGCAGCCCAGGACATGGTTGGCTTTCTGGGCTGCAAGCACATATTGTCAGGTCACATTGAGCTTCTCATCAACCAACACTCCAGGGTCCTTCTCCTCAGGGCTGCTCTCAATCCATTCTCCACCCAGCCTGTATTTATGCTTGGGATTGCCCCAACCCAGCTGCAGGACCTTGCACTTGGCCTTGTTGAACTTCATGAGGTTTGCATGGGCCCACCTCTCAAGCCTGTCAAAGTCCCTCTGGATGGCATCCCTTCTCTCCAGCATGTCAACTGCACCACACAGCTTGCTGTCGTCAGCAAACTTGCTGAGGGTGCATTCAGTCCCACTGTCCGTGTTGCCAACAAAGATGTTAAATAGCGCCAGTCCCAATACTGACCCCGAGGAGCGCCACTCGCCACTGGTCTCCGTTTGGATATCAAGCCATTGACCACACTTTGAGTGCGACCATCCAGCCAATTCCTTATCCACCAAGTGGTCCACCTGTCAAATGCTTTGCAGAAGTCCAGGTAAATGTCAGTTGCTCTTCCCTTATCCCACCAATGCTACAACCCCGTTGTAGAAGGCCACTAAGTTTGTCAATTTGCCCTTAGTGAAGCCGTGTTGGCTGTCATCAATCTCTCCTTATTTTCCATGTGCCTTAGCATAGTTTCCAGGAGGATCTATCATCTGCTCCATTCTTTTGCTGGGCACAGAGGTGAAACTGACTGGCCTGTAGTTCCCTGTGTCTTCCTTTTTTCCCTTTTTAAAAATGGGCGTTATGTTTCCCCTTTTCTAGTCAGGGGGAACTTCACCAGACTGCCACGACTTCTCAAATATGATGGATAGTGGCTTAGCAACTTCATCTGCCAGTTCCCTCAGGATCCTGCAGATCCATCTCATCAGGTCCCATGGACTTGTGCACCTTCAGGTTCCTCTGGATGGTCTCAAAACTTTAAAACCCCAAACGTAAGGATGAATTTTCTGAGAAAAATTTGTATGACATCCCCAAGTGCTCTAACATCTAGCTAAACCACCCCTATACAGCAATAGTCCTAAGAATGGTAAGATCTTTTGCAAAGGCTGCTCAATAAATACATTACTTTACTAGAACACAGATACGAAAAGTCCTCAAAAGTCACAAAGAGGATCATCCAAATAGAACTTGTGTGCAATTGCTAAAAACTGAATAGGTTTTGGTTTGGGGTTTTTTTATATGTCATTAAATTTACGTGTAGGTGTGTCTATGTATTCACAATCTACTTTTTAGTCAAAGAACAAAAGGAAACAGCTTGCTTAAGGGTCATGCAAAAGTGTGCCTGTGTTACATGTGATACCTTTGACAATGTGCTGGTCACATTGGAGTGCCTGGGTGTATATTGATTGGAGGTGATGACTGACATGAGGAAAATCATACAGTCAAGAGAGGTTACACGTACGTGTTGGAATAGCTGCTGCTGGTGATAAGGTGTATAGGGGTATATACGGTGCTAGAGAGAATAAATTCCTGACAAGGGGTTATAATGAAATGATGGTAATGCTGCATGTATCTGCATATTAAAGTGGTGGGTAGTGATAATATGTATAATTGTGATGGTGGGCAGACAGTGATAACAAGATGTGTGAACTGTAGGAGGTGACGGGCATGCATGGTAAGACGCGTAGGTTGTAAGGATGCGTGTGTGATGCTGAGTATAGTGGTGCTGTGGGGAGCATATAGCAGCATATGCACTGTGCTGATATTTATGCGGTGTGGACCTGCTGTTCTTGACAAAAGTAGGTGGTGCTCATAGGTGTCAGTTTACGTGAAGCGGCAGGTTGGTGTCCCTACAGGTGTGGTATGCTCACACGTATGAGTGGCTACCACCAACAGACTAAGCAATTACTGAGTATTTTGTATGTGCGCCAGTGCTGCGGCGGTGTTGATGCAGTGAGCGAGTGTGAGGGTGTGTGTATCAGCGAGTAACCACGGCTGGTTAATACAGAATGGGCAGGTGGGAGTCCTATATAGAAATTGCTTAAGTGGATATGTATAAGTATGTAAGGACAGACTGTATGCAGGGAGCAATAACACATAGGGAGATAAGAGACATAACGCCCAGAAGGAGAAGCAAACCAAACATACAAAAAAGCATGCTTGCCAGGGTATAGAGCTGCAGCATTAGGACTATCTGCTGGTGTTCATGTGTGGTGGGAACTGGTGGTGCAGATGAGGGGTGTAAGGCAGCAGTGGCTGTCTAGAGGTGACAGTATGAGCAGCTGTTGGTGTAGGTGGCTGCGTTTGTCTAGGATCAGGGCGTGTGTACAAAACAGCACGGTATGGGTCAGCGCGTAGAAGCAATTTGTGGGTGTATGGGTGTAGCGTGAGATAAACTGTTTATGTAGTGATGGTTCCATATATGTAGAAGTAGTGTGTGAATGGGGCTGGTGTCAACAGTTTGTGTCACTGTATAGTGCTGAGGAGGGTTTACAGCCTCAACCTGTGTGGATACAGCCCTCTCAGGGATACGCATATGTTTTAAGCACAATATTAAGAGAGGGGGATGCAGCGCTGGTGATGCAGCATGTGATGGTTGTGATCCTGTGAGTGGAAGCAGCATGCAAGGGGACAGAAGAGAGGACAGATGGTGTGTTTGCATAGCAGCATAGCTAGAATGGTCCTGGCACCCTCGTGGTGTAAATAGTGATGGTGAGCTGTAGTGTGCAAACTGGTGCCTGCACTGTTGGGTGTGTGATGGACAGAGGCAGAGCTTGTGCTGGGGTGTCAGAATCGGTCCAGGGGGTTAGGGGTGTACTTCAGGATGGAGCGTGTGGAGAGGGGCAGGGCTGTAAAGTATTGGGTGCTGCCAGTGCGTGATGTCTGGTGGTGGTGGGACAGGCCAAGGTGGGGGGCATGGAGCTGCGTGGCGGTAGGAGGGACGGGCAGTGCTGTTTTCAGGCAGTGCTGTGCGCTTGGGGCTGAAGGTTGCGTGGTGCCTCGTAGTCAGTGCCATGCCCGGTGCCCGAATGCGCACGGTGCGGTGACAGGAGGGGGTTACAGCAGCTGTGTAGGCATGAGGCAAGCCTGCCCAGGTCACGGTGCCCACCCAGCCACGACCCAGGCTTTTTTCCTAAAGGAGAAAGGATGGCCCGGACCCAGGTGCCATGGAGGGGGAGAAGTGCAGAATGCAGGGGGAGGGAGAGGATGCTGGCTGGAGGGGCGGGGGGACACCGGTGCGGGGTGGGAGGGCAGCGCGGGGCCGGGGAAACAGCAGCGG